GGAAAAAATAATCCAGGGAAAAGTTTTTAGGGATTTGCTTTGAAAGTGCGAAAGAATTAAAATTCAAAACGAATCACTATCCATTGAATAATGATGGTTAGTTGGTAGAAAAAACAGAGAAACTTCAACATTTATGCTTCGATGAAAATGACACACATATATATGTATATATGATAGACAGTCAAAGTGCAATCAGAACATGTGTTGTACACGTGTACACAACTTTCTTTCTCGAAAACCCAAAGAGCGCTGACAATGCATTTAAACTCAACTACAAAACCAATAGACAACAACAAGAGGTAGAACGGGTCTCAAACTAAGATCATCTTGGAAGAGAAACTTAAAGCAAACAGCTCGACCCGCTACTGGATACACTTTTAAAAATTCGCGTTTTTCGTAACTCAGATACACAACGAAATAGCCTCTAAATTAACGAAGGACGAAGTAGACAAACAATGAAACATTCAACTTCATAATGACAAATTTAATTAAGGCTAGAGAGGCAATACGGGAAATACAACAAGCTGATTTGATCGTTGTAAAAAAATAAGCTTGTAGTGATCCACTTTTTGTGATATGCGCTGAAGAGTTTCTGTTTCAGTTTGGAGAGGATAAAAGGTCTGTAGACTGTGTTAGTCCTGACAAAGAAGGTCAACTTTCCTTTGACAGTGTTGACAGGTGAGGTCTTAATAACGTTTTGAGGTGACAAATCCTTTTCGTTGATGATTCTATGGGGGACTCGTTAGTCACATGACAATTGGTTTGTTCCAGACCTGTAAACTTTTCTAAGAGTGTTCTCGTGAATTGTCTATCTTGGAAGACAGGAAAAATGAGGGCATATCAGATGTTTATTCACCATTTGTAATTGAAAAACTATGATCTGATCCTTGTATTTGACACATGAGCTCTGGAATTCTGGAAAACAGCTCAGTTGAACTTCTTTGAACCATTTCCGACAGCTTTTCGCCTCTTTTCAGGCAGGAGCTAGCCGCTTGCATGCAGTACTGGAGTTTAGGAACAAAATACACTGTAAACACAGTCTAAAGGTTCTTAGCACCGAAACGGCCACTGCTTTACTCATAGAATATGTGGCTCTAAAGCCTTCTTCGGCTATGGAACAGCAATGCATAGTAGTTTTTATGTCTTGGCTAACGATGAATTTTAGGTTATAGTGTGTCTGTACAAAAAGTAGTTAACTCGTGTTTATATCTGCATCTTGGGGACCAATATTCATCATAATGCAATTGAAAGCATTTGTCGGCAACTGTCAAACATAGACCATTAAGATCATTTCTCCCGGTCATTTTCGAGCTCTGAGCTATCACCTTCTTTTTGCATCGCTTTACATAGCTTCACATATATAACAAGACCGGTAATAATAAGACACTAAGATGGTCATTTACATACTGTAGGAATAACACCAGCCCCAACAGTGTGCCTTAAGGCACTTCATTAAGCACAGTTTCCCAGCTAGCCAACCTACAGTGCACTCATACCCTTTTGTCAACATCCAGATAGGAAGTTCTTTATTCTGACGTCACCTAACATAAACGAAACTTTGTAGAAAGCCTTACTGAAGTCAGCGATTGTGAAACATGAGTATTCTATCCTAATGCCGTTCTGCCTTTCAGAAAGAATCTAGTTTTCATTGAGATACTAAAATAACTACTTCTGAATATTTTTTTTCTCAAAGTTTGACGGCCGTTCTGATTGGACCTACAAGTTATCAGATTTGTGTCGTGCACCTGTATTGGAGAAAGTACTTACTATAGCGTCCTTCTAGTGTTTTGGCCATTTACCTTGGTTCACAGTGTGTTCATTTGTGCCAATCTAGTTCTATTTACAATTAATTTTACTATTTCCAGAATTCCTAGTTAGTACAATAATTAGAATACTTCTAATCATCGTATTGGTATCATGATGGAGCCAGTATTTGAACAGTTGAAGATACATTCAAATTTTAAAGTTTTAAAATCGAAGGTATGACCAGTTAAGATGTTGAGGATGATACGATTTTGCCGCGTTTTCGCACATTTATTGAAAAGGAGCTGATAGCCTAATAAAAACCTTGATGTTTCTAGATAAGCCTACTTCACACCCCTATGGAACTCTGAAAAAACCATTACCAAACCATGCGAAGTGTACTAGTTTCGAAAGCAATAAAGAAATTGTTTTTTACAACTTTATTATTGATACTACAATCGGACAGTGGCGAAAATTGCCCACTTGTGGATTGTCTAAGTTATAATGATGTTATAACCAATACCAATACACAGGAATACCCACAGTTTTCCGTGCATTTTTGATTCTTACCTAACAATCATTTCGCCTGCTTCTCTCGTCTCCTGCTTCACAACTGTGAAGTTTCACACATTTGTGTGCCATTAGTTGTATATCGTATTCTGACATAATTAAGTAGAGGATGCAACACGACCAATCATGATGTGGTTAAGTTAAAAATTCGAGCAGTTGCATGTCCAAATTTAGTGATGCTATGATATTGTGTCTTGTGCATGACTTAAATATATTTGATTATGTTCTACATTTGATTGCTGATGAATTGCACTGAAACATTCTGATGTAAATTTCTGTTTAGTCACTCTTGTGTTCAACAGCTAGCAGTAATAATTAAAGTCAACTTAATTAAAGTGATTTTATTTCGATAACCGTCTAGCCTTAGTAAGAATTGAAGACAGTTCAAACTGCCAATTAGTGATCGTCGTTAAGATGTTAGAAGTTTGGGAATTGGCATTTGAATAACGTCCACTCTTTTCAATGCATATTGACAACTACCACAATGTCTCTAATGGTACTAGTTTGTAATTTATACAGCAAATGATCGTAAACATTTTATAAACGCACCTGAATAGTCTATGCGAATAATAGACGAAATGATGTGTTCAAGCCAACGATAACATATAACTTGTCGAAGTATTTCGACGCCAGGAATAGGTAGCTCAGATAATAAAGCAGGCCGCCAGCATGAGATTTCGAATATCAGGTGTTATCTAGATCTATCCTCCATAGAACGTAATATATATATATATATATATATATATATATATATATATATATATATATATATAACCTGATATGACACATGAAACGTCTGAAAGTAATAAGGGTCAGTCCTTAGAATGAAATCTTCATTTGTGTGCAGAAATAACACATTAGATTTACTAAAAGTGCTAAAACTGCGACGTGGCAGTATAGTATAAAGATGAGCTTAAAACAAGTGAGACGAATTCTCAGAAAACAGCAAATGCGAACAGACAAAATACACAAAAATATATCACTGTTATGATTTTTGCTCTTGTCAGTTATCACTTGACAAAATTACCAAGGCCTAAATAGATTTCATACATGAAATTATTCTACTACAGGTTGCCATATCTGTAAGTTTTAGAAATAACAACATTCATACTCGTTTTTATGGTGGTAGATTATCTGTCGTCTCGAAAATTCATAAGAACCCAAATAAATTATTAAATCATCACATTGTTCTTAGTTAGGTTTAGGTAGTTATGGTATAGATAAACGATCCGTGCTTTCGTCATGAACTGATGTTAGCTATAATGTGAGCATGCTCTGTAGCTGAGTGTTTCATGTGAAAATTCAAAGGGCATTGCCTGACTAGTTTGTCCCTAAAATCTGATGTAATTAGGCTACAGTTTGTTTCAGGATTAAGTGTATAGGCTTAGTATTTAATAAAAGTGTAGACTCACCTGTCATATACAACATACAGATACCGAAATGAGCGTGTGATATGTTTAACACTGTCATTCTACCCTATAATGACAAAAATCACTCTTTCGTTATGATTCTAAGTGTTTACTGGAGTTTACATAGACATTTTTAATGTTCACCAAACAACTCATTGGAATTTTGGCGGGACTATAATTTATGGACGAACCAATCAGAAACAAGATAACGCGTCACAAATTTTGGTGCGAAATTCATCCATACATTTGGCTAAATAGAGTTTTGGCATTATAGCCGATGTCAGTTGGTGATGAAAATCCTAAATCTAAATTTCAACCCTGACCGTCAACTGTAAATGAGAACCCTAACTGCTTTATAACCCTCATTTAGTCCTAATCAGTAGGTGTCCACCCTCAGGGTCACTTAAATAATAGTCCTTAAATAATCTCATATATGAATAGTTGATCAAGAACTCAAAAGCAATTTACTCTTACTACTGATTGGTTGGTTCATAAGTATTATTCATATGGTGGGATTATAATTTATGAATGACCTTTGAGCAACGCTGAAGTGACCTTGTGAATGCCCATCTACTAAATATTACTAAATGATGATCATAAACGAATGTGAGGAATTACGATTCTGATTTACAGTTGATGGTTAGGGACAGGAATTAAATTTAAGGTTTTCCATCACTAACTGACATTCGTTATAATACCAAAATGCTATTTAATCAAATGAATGAATGAATTTCGCGCCAAAATCCAAGGTCTGTTATCTTGAACCTGATTGGTCGGTTCATAAATTGTAGTTTCGCCTAATATTTTTCCAAAGTAAAAAGTGAACACACCCTGCATTTAATTCATTAAAGAAGTTTTAATCATCATTACAACCGAACTAAACAACCTACATGAAGATGTTTTATAAGTGAAGTTAGTAAACAAACATATATGTTTATATTATTGAACAATAACAGAGTTTTCATTCTCAATACCATTGAGATGAGAAATGGAATGAATTCATGTCACATGATTATGTGCATATTCATCCACTTATCTGTATGTACTTACTTTACTTCTCTTTTCCTCTCTCTTTCTCTCTCTTTATTACCGCCAACTATAGTTTCAACTTCGAGAAAATAAACGAGACTATTTTGTATGTTTTATGCTAAGCTTCATTGATCAAAAGTGTTTTTGTTGTTTTTGTTGTTGAATCCTGAAAGATCTCATCAAAAGGTTTGTTCCACTTTTTCTCTTCTTTTAAATGAATAGGTTATCATGGTTTAAGAGTTCAGTAATATGATAACAAAGTTTTCGATTTCTGTGAAAGAAATCCCCATAAAGTTTTTAATTATAAATAGAAATGGATGTTTCAAAGGAAAAAAAACCAAGTTTAAGAAAACTTACATAGAGATAAGTTTCCTTATTAAGATCATCATCATCATCATCATCATCATCATCATCATCATCATCATCATCATCATCATCATCATCATCATCATCATCATCATCATCATCATCATCATCATCATCATCATCATCATCATCATCATCATCATCATCATCATCATCATCATCATCATCATCATCATCATCATCATCATCATCATCATCATCATCATCATCATCATCATCATCATCATCATCATCATCATCATCATCATCATCATCATCATCATCATCATCATCATCATCATCATCATCATCATCATCATCATCATCATCATCATCATCATCATCATCATCATCATCATCATCATCATCATCATCATCATCATCATCATCATCATCATCATCATCATCATCATCATCATCATCATCATCATCATCATCATCATCATCATCATCATCATCATCATCATCATCATCATCATCATCATCATCATCATCATCATCATCATCATCATCATCATCATCATCATCATCATCATCATCATCATCATCATCATCATCATCATCATCATCATCATCATCATCATCATCATCATCATCATCATCATCATCATCATCATCATCATCATCATCATCATCATCATCATCATCATCATCATCATCATCATCATCATCATCATCATCATCATCATCATCATCATCATCATCATCATCATCATCATCATCATCATCATCATCATCATCATCATCATCATCATCATCATCATCATCATCATCATCATCATCATCATCATCATCATCATCATCATCATCATCATCATCATCATCATCATCATCATCATCATCATCATCATCATCATCATCATCATCATCATCATCATCATCATCATCATCATCATCATCATCATCATCATCATCATCATCATCATCATCATCATCATCATCATCATCATCATCATCATCATCATCATCATCATCATCATCATCATCATCATCATCATCATCATCATCATCATCATCATCATCATCATCATCATCATCATCATCATCATCATCATCATCATCATCATCATCATCATCATCATCATCATCATCATCATCATCATCATCATCATCATCATCATCATCATCATCATCATCATCATCATCATCATCATCATCATCATCATCATCATCATCATCATCATCATCATCATCATCATCATCATCATCATCATCATCATCATCATCATCATCATCATCATCATCATCATCATCATCATCATCATCATCATCATCATCATCATCATCATCATCATCATCATCATCATCATCATCATCATCATCATCATCATCATCATCATCATCATCATCATCATCATCATCATCATCATCATCATCATCATCATCATCATCATCATCATCATCATCATCATCATCATCATCATCATCATCATCATCATCATCATCATCATCATCATCATCATCATCATCATCATCATCATCATCATCATCATCATCATCATCATCATCATCATCATCATCATCATCATCATCATCATCATCATCATCATCATCATCATCATCATCATCATCATCATCATCATCATCATCATCATCATCATCATCATCATCATCATCATCATCATCATCATCATCATCATCATCATCATCATCATCATCATCATAATTACTATTCACATAACTTTACTTAACGTTATCCTTTCTTATTCAATTCCTGTTATGTTAAATAATACGTGTCCCACGACTAATTACTACTGTTGAATACCAGCTTAGTGGTCTAGAGGTGAAGCATTCGCTTACGAAACTTAAGGTGTAGGTTTCAACCTTCATGTCCAGTATGTTGGTGTGATGTGTACTACTTGAATCGACATAAGTAGTATATGACGTTAGTCAGGAACAGAATGTCTGGCAGCAGAGAGACAAGGGGATCGAACAGTTAAGAACAGAAACAGAATGCAATTGGTATGAAAATGCAAGAACAAAGAAGTCTGAGTCATTTTAAGACAACTGGTGGACATTTTGCAAATTAAGCATTCACTATGTGATTGTTAGATTTTATTAAAAAGTTCTGTAATTTGTTTAATACATCCTATTGTTCCCACCGGTGTTCTTGTTCACTACAGCGGGTGCCCACTTCAACTATTTATTTTTATTTATTTGAACACAAATATTGGTACAAAGGAGCACCGAATACATATGTACCACACAGGTCACTTGATTTTTGTATGGGCTATGATGCTGCTCAGATGCCCAAACCGAAGCAGGTGGTTTTCTTAAGAGGCCACACCCGAAGACTTCGACCTAAAGGTCTGATCCACAAGGCAATGGAGCAATGTCAGCAGATTCAGTCCCATGGTAGTCAGTGATCAACCTTAGGTTCGTAATCCCTTTTTTCCATCAGGATCATAGAGCTCATGTTCACCATTGGTTTGTAATCGGTGTTTTACAACTCTCCTAGATGTATTCTCCATATCCACCAATCCGGTTGAATGGCTGGACATTTACTTTTAGTTCTCTCAATTTCGTAAACAACACCCGTTGTGCGAGAGGATAGTGAGTAAGACTTGCGTGTTTGTGGCTGTATACGCGTGTCCATGTGAGAGCATTATGAGAGGCAGGGCTCACTCTTCCCATTATCTACCGCACCAGAGCATTTGGGGGCAACTTCAACTAATGAGTCCCGTACTAGGATGAAACCGATATGGTTATTTAACATTGATCAGTTCATGATTTGAATGAAACTCAACGAACTCCAAAACCCCATACTCATAATTATATTACTGTTTCTGTGATCCTATATGGCCTATATTTTTGCTCATTATCAATCTCACAATTTTGATTTAGATATAAATTTATTCTGGTAGACATTACATACTAGACATTTCAGTATTACCAATTCTGTTTCATTTCCATATGCTTTAAGATGTTATCAGTGAAGGAAGAGTACAGTGTACATCTATGAACTCATTGAGAATTGAATTAAATGCGTATTGTTGTGGAGTCCTACAATAGAACAAAATAGCTACCTAGTGCTTCATGTGTTAAGTTGGTTATTGAACTCAATAACATCTAAAAAAGAAGAAATTCACCTAAAACTTGTGTATCCTATTGGAATATAAATTTGAATTTGTAACTGTAAACTTGTAGTCAGAATAGAATGAAAATAGTAATCCATACATCAATGTTTTCAGTATGAGTAAAATGCAAATCGATAGATGAAGGATAATGACGCAGTATGGTCAACTAATCACTGCTAGTGAGACAGGTTTATTGACTCCAACTCTGCCCCTTAGATGAACTGATATTGAAGAAAAGACTATTGGCTAAAAGGATAGTTAGTTTTTCTCACAAAATTATATGTTCGTGGATTGTTTGCAGTTAGATATTAACACTATTGAATTCCGGCCAGCTCAGTGATCTAGAGGTTCAGCGTTAGCGTGTAGTGACCTACTTTTACCAAGAGAACGCGATTGATTCAATGGAAACAATTATTATTAAAACCAATTGCACCAGTGATTGTTTAACTGTGCTAAAGACAACCATATTCCTACTCCATTACTCTCCATGACTTTTCCGCGTATCGTGACCTCGTACGTTCGTACTTTTGCCCGCTGATTCCACTTGCCTTCTGATTTATTTGATACGCGTTTCCCTGTAGTGGTGCTCATAGTCAACCTCGACTCGACACCACGCTACAAGCGTGCGGGGCCTGAGGTCCTGGGTTCGGATTTCGCAGGGCGCTAAAGAGTCCCACGATAGGATAAAAAGGTCTTGCAGTGCTTCCAGGTTTTCCATGGTGGTCTGGCAGCAATTGATTCATGGATTGAACTGTTAAACTATACGCTTATATAAAATTTACTAACAGAAAAGTAAACATTACTGAGTATTTTGAGTGATTGGAGGAAATCGATTTTGATCGATCACTCAATGATTAATAAATTAAGTAAGATTTAATTATTAGGCCTAGATCATGTCCATTCTATCACGAATATACTTTATTTCATTCTGGACGAAAAAGAAAAACTTAAATACTTATCAGAGGGGTGTTTTGTTGAAATTTCAGTAATTTAATGGTTGAATTCATGAATCAGTTAAACTAGACCACCATGGAAAACCTGGAAGCACTGGATGGCCATTTTGTTCTAATATGGGACTCTTCAGTAGTGCGCATCCACGATCCCACCTCTCGAAATTTGAACCCAGGAGCTATCTGTTTCGCGCGCGAACGCTTCATTAACTGCCAACAAAATGAATTGTGTTATAACTTGAGGCCTTGTGCCCTATTAATATATAACATAATGATACCGCTAATTAGAGAACAGTGACTCATCGACCGAACCAATGACGCGTAAACCATACGAGCAGTTCAGAGTCCTAATCGATCCTTCTTCATGCTTAACCCTGCCTGTTAGAGTCTAGAACACCAAACCCAGCCTCCACGATATGAATCATTTATTTCAAACATACTCGGTTTATATACCAACCAAACAGACCACATTGTACCATAAAATGGAAAATACACACAAGATCAAGCCAAATGTGCCTGTGAATGTGGGAGACTCTAATTAATAGACTGGGCCATAACTCAAGAATGGTAAATCGTATCATAATAGTTCATAGGTCAAAATAAAGCTTATAATAAGAGGAATCCGAATATGAATAGTTTAGTTAGTTAATCCATTTCACAATGTTTATTTTCTGTTCATCTTCTGTATATAAACGAGTTGTTTTATTACATAAACACTTACTCTTTTATCATTGATTTCTAATAATTCGGAAGTTTAAATCAATAATACAATCTCATGAGTATTTATAACTTGGTTACAATATCATCTATCGGTTCATTAATGATAATCATCAATAGATTTCATTGAATTCAATGAACAGAAAACTTTCTTCCACACCATATACACATACATGGATCCACCTTAGTAACATAACTGGATAAGAGAAGTGGAATACAAGGGTAGTAGATGAATAATAAGGGAAGTGTTAAAGAGAAAGGTATTACAGGTTAGTGTATATGTAATAGGTACATTCAAATAAAGCACACACATGCACACACACACGTAATAGCGTACATAAATTTAGGTGATAATTAACAAGTTCAAGTGTAAAAAAAGAATAATCGATAAGATTAAAATGACTGGTTTGTTTAGAAACTGGAGGAAACTTATGTGTCATTACATCAGCTTTCCTGTGGAGCTGATATACTTGTGGTGCGTACTACTTATATTGATATAAGTAATATATGACGCGAGTCAGGAATGTAATGTCTGGCAGCAGAAGGTTAGGAAGATCAAGAAAGGAAGAGCGGGAATAGAAAGTAATTAGTATAGAAATGCAAGAACATTGAAGTTCGAGACAATTATTGAACATTTTGCACATTAAGCATTATAGTATGGTTTCTCTATTTTAGCAAGTAACTCTGTAATGTTGTGCTAAATATAATTCGATTGTCCCCACCCGTGTTCTGTTCACTACATACTTACGTAGTATATAAAGAATACTAAACTATATGTAAGAAGTACCGTACTGAGCGTGTTCTCGTACTATGGTCGTAATATCTTGTTATTTCAAATCACCATTTTGTTTTTGGGCACCATTGAGATAGTTGGTGGTCTAAGACGCCTCAGATTGTAAAACTTCGTGACGCGTATCAACTATCACATAGTGATTTGTAGACTACACTCAACCGCCTAACATCAAAACATAGTACACGCTATTTAAACAAAGATGTATAGTGGCTAGTAGTAGACTCACGTTTCGTCCTATTTGGGACTAGTTAACTGTATGTACCTGCATCCCAGAGTTGATGTTCACTCTGGGACTCGAACCCATTACTGTTTGCTTTAAATGTCATCGCGTTTTTCGCTTAGTATACGCTATGTCAAGTTATTTACACTTATAGGAACACTACAACTTGATTGATAGAACTTGATCGAAACAAGAAGCACTAAACAAACATGACATTAATCAAAACTTAGTAACTAGTCATTGTAAAACGTAATGTCTACTTAAAGGTGTTAAGTGACATGGTTCAAAACTGACTGCGCTAATGCGAGTAGATTCTTTCATTAACCCTTTATTCATCTTTAGTTCCATCGTTATTAAAAACGTCCTACTTAGAAACAATTCGGTATATAGTTTTATTTTATTTATGCATTTTTCGTGCATTACATACTCATATAGTGTCATACTAACGTTTAACATGGGAATATTCAACATTATGTTTACATGCAGACAGAGTATTATATCCATATGAGTATGGATAGGGCTAGATAGATTATCGACAAAGAAGGAAGAAAGGAGCATCTGTTTAGTCAAGATTACAGATATGTCTTGTTGACCAGACCAAACTTGAGAAAATTCTATTAATGTTCAGTAACTGCCTGCAACCAATTAACTATGAATTTTAGAAGATAAATTAACAAAACTTCCTTGTTATATATAGTTTTCAAGAGACTGAAAGTATACTTAGATTCATATATTTCGATTTAGTCTACGCAAGATATTCAACATCCATTGGCCGGATACCATCAGCAACAGCCTAGTATGAGGGAGGACAAGCCAGCTTCCAGTTGAAGAAGAAATTAGGAAAAGCCGTTGAAAGTGGATAAAACATACATTAAGGAAATCATCAAACCACATCACGTGGCAATCCCT